CTTACATATATATATATATATAGAGAGAGAGAGAGAGAGAGAGAAAAAAAAAATATGAGCCAAAAACACTTTTGGCATCAGTTTTGAGAAAAAGAGTACGAGAATCAAGACATAAGCGCCGAGATCTGCCCGAGTGGTTTCAATTCTGCACGAGTGGAATTCCCAATCCACACGAGCGAAAGTTTCTACCTCATGAGCGGATTGCTCTAGAGAGCTGCCCAGAAAAATTCACCAAAATCCGCTCGAGCAGTTTTCTGCCTAGAAAACCCAGAAAAGTTTGAAAAACTCTGTGAGGATTTGCTCGGGCGGATTCCAATTCCGCACGAGCGGTTTTGCCCAAAACTCAAAAAATGATTTTGCAACCCAAGGTAAGTTCCAATGTCTAAAACTCAAAATTTTCAACCCAAAAAAGTTAAGAGAGGTTAAGTAGAAGTAGAAAAGGAATCTCAACGACATAATACGGTAAACAAAACACCGAAGGAAATGCATACAATTCCACTGCACAATACTATTCAAGCCCAAAACCTGGGACACCACAAAAACAGAGTGAAAGAGGAGTGAACGAGTCTCACTTACATTAGCAATCCGTTGTTTATGGATTGATTCAAATTGAATTCGATCTGGACCGTTTACTATCCCACCTTACATTACACCATGCACCATGTTGCATATAATCCTAACCTTTTATATATAAAACCCAAATAAGGAACTTTCCGGTTGTTTGTGGATTGGTTTTGGATTGAATTTGATCCGGACCATTTGCTATCCCACCCTACATTATACCATACACCTTACTGCATACAATCCCAATCTTTTATATATATAACTCAAATAAGAAACTTTCCAAAAAAAGAAAGAGGCGCTCCTATCAATAGAACTACCACTAACTATCAGTAATCAATTTTTAAATATTACAAGTTGATTTGGGTTACTACTATGTTGTGCTGTTGTTTTTGTTGCTTTTTTTATTATAAATAATTTAGCATAAGTTTAGTGTTGTAATTGAATTATCACAACAAAATGTTTGTTAAATGAGAGTTTTATTTGCTAGATGTTGAATTTATGTTTATTTGCTAGATGATCCATTTATAATTATTTGCTACATGTTGAATGTTTTTAGAACATTGTTATATAAGTTTTATTGTGTTAAACTGTGATTTCAAAACGAATCAATCCGTATTTAAATGGTTTAGTTCGCATTAATTCCATAATTTAAATGATTTAAATTGATTCTAATTTTTATCAAATCGTAATTCACAAATTAATTCTGATTTAATTTCTAAATCGGTTCAACCCGAACCATGTCACCCGCCACCTATAGATTTGAGTGCTCTTTGTCTTACGAATTGTATATTCATGGGTAGGTGTGTCATTAGAGAAGCTACGTGACTGGTTTCTCGCGCCCTGGTAAGATATTGTCTGCTCTGGCGAGGTGGCGAAACAATGTCCGTCAGCCTCACGGCTTTAAAAGGCCTCTTACAAGGTGGAGGGGGCCAGTACGCTTATAAGTTGGTTGCAAGTGTCCCTCCCAGGCGATGTGGGATTGCCCCAACATAACCCCCTAGCGGACTGGGCCGCGAACAGCGGGAGAGTTTGCCGGACGACTTGCATGGGCCACCAAACTGACGTGACTAGCTTCTCGCGCCCCGGTAAGATATTGTTCACTCTGGCGAGGTGGCGAAACGACGCCCGTCGGCCTCACAGCTTTAAAAGACCTCTTACAAGGTGGAGGGGGCCAGTACGCTTATAAGTTGATTGCAAGTGTCCCTCCCAAGCGATATGGAATTGCCCCAACACATCATAATCAAAATAACAATTATAATAGGTTAAAACCAACATTTCAATTAGTCATAATCAAATTGTAATTAATACCTCACTAGATTATAACCAAACCAGATACTTTATAATTGAGACATATAATACGTACTCAAAAGATTGTGTGAGTTATAGAATTTCTCTTTTATAATATTATTTTAATACCTTGTCTCACCATTTATTGATGGAAAACTCAAAAATCCAGAGTAAACCACCCAAAATTTATTGGGTGAGTGTTTGTGTGACAGAGATTAAATTTATATAGTATGGAATCAATGAATAGAATAAATTCAAACTATAAGTTGAAAATTTTAGGTAATTTTTGGATTAATAAAGATGTATTTGTAGTATTACTCTTTATTAATATCCGTTTGGGATAATTTTAGAAAATGGTATCAATACAAAAATAATAACAAAGTGATAAAAGTACAAATGATTTATTTATGAAATTATTAAAGAAAATTGATGATAAATTCGATCTTAGGAGGGTGTAAGACCATCTCCAATGGTTCATCAAATTGTTCATCAAATTTGAATTTGATAAAAAAAAGTACAGCTTTTGAACCTCCAATAGTTTCACCAAACTGATATCAAACTGAGAACAAAGCAAAACTTTCATCAAATTGAGAAGCTGCTTCTATTTTTATCTATTCATTGTGCATATACGTTGGAGGTAGGTCCCACCACCCATCGTCCCTTGCATACACAAAATGACAAGCTTCTTTGGAATTGAATTGCGCACTTTTCTCTTCCTGTTTGCGCTCAAAATGCTTCAGCTTTCTGCGATGTTTCTCTGTAAATCACTTTCCAGACACCCTTTTTATCGATCTTCAATACCCACTTCTTCTTTTACCTTCAAATCACTCACAACTTTCTCAAACCAATGCGTTTCAGACTCATTTTTATCTCAAAATCGCATGAAAATCCGTCATTTTCTTCACCTAACAAGCTCAAACTCTGCAACCTAGTTGGGGATTTTCTAGATTACGAGGCAATACTGTGTTGATATGAGTAAAGTGGTCGATGAGATCAACCTCAAGTTTGCAAAGGCAAAGGAGGAGATAGAGACGACCTTGGATTCCAAAGAAACTGTGTATTTCAATGAGGAAGCTTTGTGTGCTCGGGACGCGGTTAAAGAAGTTCTGGACATGTATGAGGGGTTGCTAGCAAAGTTGCTAGAGAAGGAAAAGGGTGCAATACAGAGGTCTATCGGGTTCAAGATTGAGCAATTACAGGCTGAGCTTGTACAATTGAATGATTAGTGGTAAGGTTTGTTGATTAATCTGAGTTTTGTCATACCTTGATTCAAGTTCATTGCTTTTTATGTTTGATGTTGTAAGTTTCATGGTTGAGGATCGAATTTATTTGTTGGAGGGAAAAAGAAATCGAAAAAGAATTGGGAAACAGAAAAGAAGGGAAAAACAAAAAAAATTCAGTTGCCTTACCGGTCCACCGGTCGGTCCATCGGCTAGTCTTCCCACCGGTCGTCCCATGTCTTTTGATACACGCCGTTGGAGCGGCTCGTATCAGATTGAAAAACTTGCCTTTTTTTTACTCAAATTTGGTGAAAAAAATAGGTGAATCGTTAGAGATGCTCTAAGGCATTAGATCCAGTGAATATTTTTTATTGGTAAGAAATCTACACTTTGTGAAAAGTATAGTGAAAAGTCCTAAAAGACGTTTTGTTTTCAATTTTACCCCTTGAATTTTTTTTATTTGTTTGACTTTTCATTAACTATCTATTCAAATTATATCTATCTATTTAAATTTTTTCTCTTTCTGTTCAAATTTATATCTATTTGTTCAATTTTTCTTCTAAATTCTATCTATTTGTTCAATTTTTCCCTTATCTATTTAATTTTTCTTCTAAATTCTATTTATCTTTTTTTTTTCCTAAATTCTATTTATCTGTTCAATTTTTTTTCTAAATTCTATCTATCTGTTCAATTTTTTTTTCTATCTGTTGAAAATTTGTGTCAATTTTTTTATTTCTATTGCAATCATCATCATCATCAGCATCAATTTTTTTTTCAAATTTGTCTCATGCATGCACACACTCACAGATATACATACATACAACTCAACCCAATCCTACCTAAGTCACCAAACCAATTCAATTAACAATAACATGATGTTATCTTCAGATTCACCATCATTACTAATTCCGACCAATAAACACCTCCAAAAGCTTATAGAATCAACTCATCACTTCCCTTGCAACGAGATTCAATCCATCAACACCAACCTCTACTTCCTCCCCGCCGTCCCCCACTCTGTTGGCACCTCCGAATGTTGGCACAAGGATGACTGCTTCCTTGACTACCTCTTCGACATTTACTGCATTCTCAAGCTCTAAATGCCCCCGTCTTCGTCGATCTCTTCTATTTTGCTTACTCTTACTCCTACTCCTATTCCTACGTCAATCTTTCCATCGTTGACCCCTCCACCGCTCATGTTCCACCATGAAGTCTAGCGATAGTGGCAGACAGCGACAATG